CACTTTTGTGGTAAGGTTCAGGGGGAGGTTCAAGGGGTTGGGGTCGTGAACGCGATCCTGGGATTCTTTGGGGAAGGTTCCCGGGAGGTTGCATTCGCCTGGGTAGAGTTGTTTTTAAAAAGGATTTAAAGCACCTCAGGGGCCCCTGGTGTTCTATTTTTGAATGTGTTTTAAAGACTCTCAGAGGTTCCTTTGCTTTTATTTTTAAAATGGTTTTAAAAAATCGCAAGGGCCTAAGTGTTCTTATATGTGAAAATGCTTTAAAAAACTCAGGAACCTCTTATGTTTTATTTTTGAAAAAGGATCTCAGGGGCCCAGGGGTGTTTTATTTCTCCAAGGGTTTGAAAGAATGTCAGGATCCCTAAAGTTTTTTGGAAGAGTTTTAATAATCTCAGGGACCACCCTAGCGTTTTATTTTCCAAAGGGTTTTGAAGAATCTCAGAGGCCCTTTGTGTTTTTTTTAACGGGTTGAAGAGTGTCAGGGGTTCCTTTGGTTTTATTTTTAAAATGGTTTTAAAGAATCACAGGGGTCCTTAGTGTTCTTATTTTGAAAAAGATTTAAGAAACTCAGGGACCCCTTGCGTTTTAACTTTGAAAAAGGTTTAAGAAGGGGTCAAGAGTCCCTAGTGTTTTATTTCCAAAAGAATTTTTAAGAATCTCAGGAGCCCCTGGTGTTTGTGTTTTTGAACGGGTTTTAAATAATCTTAGAAACACCTAGTGTTTTATTTTTAAAGGGGTTTTGAAGAATCTTCAGGGTTCCTGGTGTTTTGTTTCTGGACGTTTTATAAAGACTCCTGGGATAGTCCTTGTTTTTAAAAGAAATTTAAAGAATCTCAGGGGTCACTAGTCCTCCTTTTCGTCATTTTCGTCCTTTTAGCCCCTTTCGTCCTCTTTGTCCTTTTTCGTATTTTTCGCCCTTTGCGTCCTTCTCGTTCTTTTGGTCTTTTTTCGTCCTTGTTCGTCCTTTTCGTCCGTTTAGTCCTTTTCATTTTTTTGGTATTGTTCGTCCTTTTCGTTTTTTCGTATTTTTCGTACTTTTTGTTATTTTCGTCCTTTTCGTCCTTTGTCCGTCGTCTTTAGTCCTCGGTCCTTGGTCCTTCGTTCTTCGTCCTTAGTCCTTTGTCCTTAGTCCGTCGTCCTTGGTTATTTTCGTCCTTTTTCGTCCTTTTTCCTACTGTTCGTCCTTTTACGTAATTTTCGTCCTTTTTCGTCCTTTTCGTCATTTTTCCTTCTTTTCGTCCTATTTCGTCCTTTTCGTCCTTTTGGTCCTTTTTCGTCCTTTCCGTCCTTTTGGTCCTTTTTCGTCCTTTTTCCTCCTTTTCGTCCTTTTCGTCTTTTTTTTCCTTTTCGTCCTTTTTCGTAATTTTCATCCTTTTATGTCCTTATCGTCCTTTTCGTCCCTTTTCGTCCTTTTCCGTTCTTTTTCGTCGTTTTTCGCTCTCTTCGTCCTTTTCGTCCTCTTTCGTCCTTTTTCCTCCTTTTTGTCCTTTTTCGTCCATCTCGTCCTTTTCGACATTTTCGTCCTTTTTCCTTCTTTTTATCCTTTTCGTCCTTTTTCATACTTTTCGTTCTTTTTCGTCCTTCTTCGTCCTTTTTCGTCCTTTGCATGCCCTTCGTTTTTTTCGTCGTTTTTCCTCATTTTCGTCCTTTTTTTCTAATTTTCGCCCGTTTCCGCTCTTTTTGTCCTTTTCTTCCTTTTTCGTTTTTTTTCCTACTTTTCGTTCTTTTTCGTCCTTCTTGTCCTTTTCGTCCTTTTTCGTCCTTTTCGTTAACCTCGTCCTTTTTGTTCCTTTTCGTCCTTGCTACGTCCTTTGTCGTCCTTCTCGTCCTTTTCGGCATTTTCGTCTTTTTTCCTCCTTTTCATCCTTTTAGTCCTTTTTCATAATCTTTGTTCTTTTTCGTCATTCTTCGTCCTTGTCATCCTTTTCCGTCCTTGTCGTCCTTTTCCGTCCTTGTCGTCCTTTTTTGTCCTTTTTCGTCCTTCTCGTCCTTTTCAACATTTTCGTCCTTTTTCGTCCTTTTTCGTCCTTTTCCGTCCTTTTCATCCTTGTCGTCCTTTTCAGCACTTTTCGTTCTTTTTCGTCCTTCTTCGTCCTTGTTCGTCCTTTTTCCTCATTTTCGGCGTTTTTTTTGTTAATTTTCGTCCTTTTTCGTTTTTTCGACTTTTTCGTCCTTTTTCGTCCTTTTTCGCTCTTTTCGTCCTTTTTCGTCCTTCTCGTCCTTTTCGGCATTTTCGTCTTTTTTCCTCCTTTTCATCCTTTTCGTCCTTTTTCATTCTCTTCGTTCTTTTTCGTCCTTCTTCGTCCTTTTTCGTCCTTTTCATCCTATTCGTCCTTTTGTCCTTTCAGTCCTTTACGTCCTCTTTGTTATTTTCGTCCTTTTCGTCCTTTCTCCGTCGTCCTTAGTCCTTGGTCCTTGGTCCTTGGTCCTTCATCCTTAAATCTTAGTCCTTTGTTATTCGTCCTTCGTCCTCGGTCTTTGGTCCTTGGTCCTTCGTCCTTGGTCCTTCGTTCTTTTTCGTCCTTTTCGTCCTTTTCCGTCCTTTCTCCTACTATTCGTCCTTTTACGGAATTTTCGTCCTTTTTTCATCCTTCCCGTCCTTTTTCGTCCTTTTCGTCCTTTTTTTGTCCTTTTCGTCCTTATCATCCTTCTTTTTCCTTTTCGTCCTTTTTCATAATTTTCATCCTTATTCGTCGATATTTTCGTCCTTTTGGTCCTTTTACGTGATTTTCGTCCTTTTCGTCCTTTATCCTACTGTTCGTCCTTTTACGTTTTTTTCGACCTTTTTAATAATATTAATAATAATAATAATATTAATAATTTCCGGGTCAGTGGTGGGTCTTAATAATAAGAATAATAGCAGACTAATTTGTATGCTGTAATTCTAGAATCTCGAAAGTTGTTCTGTTAATCTAATCAATGCATATCATTGCTTGGTCTTAGTACCCGTAATGATAGAAGTCTTGCCTGAATGCCGGTCATTTTCGGGTCAGTGGTGGGTCTTAATAATAATAATAATTTTTATTGAACCAATTTTAAATAAGTAAATTAAAAACATTGGTACAAAAGGTATATATAAATACAGCAAAAACTGATATTAATCTGACCTGACATTATTATCTAACTTGACATTAGTATTAAAAAGCATATTAAATTAAGAATGAGTTAAAACAGACCTAAATTTATATTTGGTATTTTTCGTCCTTTTCGTCCTTATTTGTTCTTTTCATCCTCTTCATCCCTTTTCGTCCTTCTCGTCCTTTTTCGACATTTTCGTCCTTTTCGTCCTTTTCGTGCTTTTGCGTCCTTTTTGTCTTTTTCGACGTTTTCGTCCTTTTCCTCCTTTTTCGTCCTTCGTCCTTTTCGTCCTTCGTCCTTTTCGTCCTTCTCGTCCTTCGTCCTTTTCGTCCTTCGTCCTTTTCGTCCTTCGTCCTTTTCGTCCTTCGTCCATTTCGTCCTTAGTCCTTCGTTTTTCGTCCTTTTCATCCTTTGTCCTTCGTCCTTAGTTCTTAGTCCTTGGACATCGAAGGTTTTGTAATAGTTTTAAAAATGGCAATCATTGGTTGATTGATATTGATTGATTGATGTCATGGACCCTTATAATAGTGTTTTATCTCTAAAAGTTTCATGAACGGAAATCTTAGGAGCTTCTGGTGTTTTGTTTTTAAACTGAATTTAAAGAATCTCAGGGTCTCCAAGTGTTTTAGTTTTAAAAGGGTTTTAAAGTATCTCGGAGGCCCTTGATGTTTTGGTTTTGAACGTGTTTTAAAGTATCTCAGGGGTCTCTTTGGTTTTATTTTTAAAGAGGTTTTAAAGAATCTCAGGGGCCCATTGTATTTTATTTCTAAAAGGGTTCTGAAGAGGAGACCCTGCTTTTTTGTTTTTGAACGGGTTTTACAGAAACTCAGGAACCCCTCCTTGGTGTTCTGTTTCAATGCAGTTTTTAAAGAATCTCAGGAACCCCTAGTGTTTAATTTTTTAAAGGGTTTGAAGAATCTTAAAGGCTTTTGGTGTTTTGTTTTTGAATGGTTTTTAAAGAATGCCAAGAGTCCTTGTCTTTTATTTGTAAAAGAAAAAAGGAATCTCAGGGCTCACTACTGCTTTATTTTTCAAAAAGCTATAGGAGTCTCAGGGGCCTCAAGTGTTTCGTTTTGAAAAAGTTTTAAGAATCTCAGCGGCCTTTAGTGTTTTATTTCTAAAGAGTTTTAAGAATCTCAGGGGCCCCTAGTGTTTCCTTTTTGAAAGAGTTTAGTGAATCTCAGGGGCCCCTTGTGTTTTGTTTTTTGAAAAGGTTTATCAATCTCAGGGTGTTTTATTTCTAAATGGAATTTGAAGAATATCTTGAGCATGTGGTGTTCAATTAGTGAATAGTTTTTAAAGAATCTCAGAGGCCCTTAGTGTTTTGTTTTTAAACGAGTATAAAGAATCTTAATGTTTTATTTTTAAATAGAATTTAAAGCATCTCAGGGGATTCTGGTAATTTTCAACGGATTTTAGTTCAAGAGTGATACTCTTGATCATTACTAGCTTTATTCAAGCATCATCGAAAGTCTGAGAATTAGTTGTCATCTTTAAGAAATTATTGCTTTTTTTTTAGTAGGCTTGAACTTTCTTTCCTCTCCCAGTTCGTTTATTTTGAGCATCAAGGATGACAAACAGAGAAAAAGTAGTTTTTTTGTTTCACAATTACACAACATTGGAAAAAAACGCTGATTTTCGCCACAGTTGTAATAAAGTTCGTCTTATAGACCTCGGGCGCCAATTTTTTCACCTTGCATGCCCCACTCTCTCGTATACTTGGGTCACTGAACTAACGAGATCAATATTAAAGGTGACTTATTCTGCTAAAACCACACAGTTAAAAAAATGGTGGAGGCGCCGTGACAATTTTCTTAAAAAAAATTATTTCAATAATAATTTACGGAGTTAAAAAAAAATCTTCGTAGGTCGCCACCAATTTCTCCAAGTCGTAACATAGTCGAAGAAATTAAAACACTCGCTCCCTTTTTTTTACACAAAATTTATTTTACAAAATTTTTACAATAAACAACAGTCGTATAAAAACCTATTTACAAATTTTAAATAAAAATAAATAATTACGCTATCTCGTCGAGTGTTTCAGCGATACAGGTATATACTTGACTTTGGGCGTAGCGTCAAAAACCGGCAAATCTACGTAAACAGCTTTGGATTTTTTCGTAGTCGTCACAACCACATCATCCTTGACCGCCCCCAGCTTCATCTCCAAGATATTTTTCCTCACGTGCACGTCATCCCGCGCCTTCCGACTCACCCCACTCGCACTCTCAACCTCTTGCGTCGTACTCTCAACCCTATCACTCTTCTTCCGAATTTTCTGAATATGCGTATACGGAGTGGTGGACGCCTTCTTCGTCGAGGCCTCGGCTTTGAGCACTGGAGGCGGATCAAACTGCTTGTTATCGCGATTCCTCTTCGCGTTACTCACGCGTTGGACCTTGGGGGTGGTCGACGTCGGGTCCTCGTACGACAAAGGCACATACCGCGGTTTTTCTTTAGGGGTGATAATATCACCAATAAACTTAGGGGTGTAAGTGCTCACTAACGGTAAAATCGTCTCTCTGGCGTACTTCTCCGCTTGCTCAAACATCCGTGCCAACCGTTGCGGAAGAAACTGAACCGTCATGGCAATCATCTTCAACGGGTTGTCGTCGTTCTTGATCGACTTCGAGCCGTCTTCGCGCTTCCACTTGGTTTCTTTCGGTTTAACCGACACCGACGGAATCCACTCATTATCATCCTCCGACTCGTAAAAGTTGTACGAAATCTCTTTATTGTTGTTGGCGAGGCGCGAAATGAAGTCGTTTTTGACAGCAGGCTCTAGTTTGAAAGCACCGAAATTGCGCGCCGTCGTGGGTCCTAGAATGGGTTCGGTTATCTCGGGTTTATCCTTATCGGGGTCGTGGGATCTCCCGATTTTGTTAGAGTGGGGTTTGAGCACAGGCTCCACGATTTCTTTGACGACGCCGGTTTTGGAAGTGTCTGATTGGACAGATTTTGTGTTGAAGGCCCGACTGGATTCCGCTTCTTCGGGATCGAAAACTCGGTTATCGTCGTTCCAGTCGATGGAATTGGAGACTTTTTCCTTGTCGTACTCTTTGTCGAGGTCTTCAGGCCCGATTCGAACGACTGGGGTTGGGATGAAGTTTTTCACTTTTGTGGTGAGGTTCAGGGGGAGGTTCAAGGGGTTGGGGTCGTGAACGCGATCCTGGGCTTTTTTGGGGAAGGTTCCGGGGAGGTTGCATTCGCCTGGGTAGAGCGGAAGAGTCACTGGAATCCCCGAGTCCAGGATTAGATTCTTCTTGCAGATGGAAGATCTGGAACGATTAGAGTGAGATGGGTTGGAAAAATGGGTGTAATGGGACTCACGTTTTGCCGAAGCTGTCACTGATTGTGACTTTGTCCATCCTCCATTGGGTCAAACCGGACGACAACCAGCCGCTGTAGGCGGTATACAGGATTTCTATGCTAGTGGGTTCTGATAAAATTGGGTGAGGTACCAAAATCCGAGATATGGACTCTCCGAGCTTCATTTCTTCGTCTTCTTTTCTATAACGTAAAGAATGAAAGCATTAATTGGAACGTCGCAACTTTAATTATTACCTCGTCATCATGAAAGTTTCGTTGAAGGTGGAATCCCCGATCAAAGTGATTTGAATCTTGCCATAGGAAACTATAGGTACGGCGCTGGGCGAAGTTTCAATCTTGACGTTATACTGATGAGCACAGAAGGGTTCCTCGTCTCTCGTGATTAAATATAACTGTCCCCTTCCCTTGGACCTATCGGCGTAATAGCCCATATTGCCGCAGCTCCTTAAACGCAAAATAAACATGTCAATCAATAACTCACAACTCCATTAACCCTTTAAATAAATAAAGCTCGAAGTTCGATACACCCGAGCCCAACCACCCTCAATAAAAGCCCCTGGTTGATATGCGCCTTGCATACGCAGACAATTCCCGAAATGTATCTCCCGAAATATTTTTTCTGCGGCTGATTTATGATATTGAAAACAATCCCTACCTTTCATCGGTGCATGGAAAGCACTTTCCCGAAAGGAAATCTTCGTACGATTCACAGGGGAATGCCGGAAAATGACATCGAGGAGAAACTGAGTCGGTAAAGAACTTATAGGCTCGTCTATGGTTACAAAGCGATCGTCCCTCGACGGCAGACGCTAAAAATCCAACACATTTACCACAAACAGAAAACCCATCGTGCTAAAATCAAATCACAAAAAATATGGGCCATAAATTTGGAACAAATTCGATCTTGGCGCAGGTTCGACGAGCGGCGAGGGGCGGAATTTATTTAAAACGGCGGTGGTGTTTTACGCTCACTTAGAAATCAGGGTTTACGAGGTAACTCTTTAGTTTGCTTCCATTAGTGGTAACAAGATTAAATAACGGGGATGGGAAATAAAAAACATTCGTTCATTAAGGGTTCCATTACTTTGATAATGTTAATAAATTCGTAATGTGGCCAGTAATGGACGCGTTTTTCCGGATAGTTGTTTAATAGTATATTAAAAAGCAAGTTTCAGGGCGTATTTTACACTATTTTTTCTACTTCGCAACTCTTTTTCCAAAGTTGGATTTTTTTCAGTTTTGGGGAATTTTGTTGTGGTTGGTACGAGAAATGTCAGATGATTTATTGCTATTAATCTCAAAAAAAATTAAATCTTTTCACAACAAGAAAGGTAAAACATGTTTAAAATGATAAATTTTTGTAGGAACGTATCAATTTTTCAATTAAGCTCCGCCCCTTGGTCTGACAACGAATGAAAAATTCATCACAATTGAGCTTAGGATGTATATGGGTGGGGCTTGTTTTTCTCTTAATATACATAATATTCTGTGAACTACTCGATATTCAGAAACATGTATTTTATTTCTTGTAGAGAAATAAAGATTTTGTAATTAAACTCCACCCGCTTGGCTCACGACGAATAAAAAAATCATCACAATTGAGATAGGACGGGTGGGCGGGGCTTGTATTTGGCTTAACTGCAAAATACTTATTTCTTTACAAGAAATTAAAAACATGTTTTTGAGTATCGTGTTGTTCAATGAATACTATGTATATTAGAAAAAAAGGCAAAATATAACCCCGCCCACCCACCCTCACTCCCTTTTGTGATGATTTTCTTTTCTTCTTAGAAACTTAAAACACGTTTAAGATGGTAAATTTTTTAAAGAAATATAGATTTTGCAATTGGGCTCCGCCCCTCGGCTCACGACGAATAAAAAAATCATCAGAATTGAGATAGGGTGGGTGGGCGGGGCTTATATTTTGCCCTTTTTTTTCTTAATATACATAGCCATCTTTTGATAACAAGAAACTTAAAACATGGTTAAAATGGATTTTCCAATTATGGGGCGGAGCCTAATTGCAAAATCGATATTTCCTTATACAAATTTACTATTTCAAACATGTTTTAAGTTTCTTGTTGTGAAAAGAAGTCTACACATATTAAAACAAAAAGGCAATATATATGCCCGCCCACCCACCCGCTCTCAATTGTGGTCATTTTTTTATTCGCCGAGAACCAAGAGGGTGGAGCTTAACTTCAAAATACTTATTTCTTTAGAAGAAACTGAAAATATGTTTTTGAGTATCGTGTTGCTCAAATACCACTATGTATATTAAGACACAAAGGCAAAAGGACGAAATGGACGAAAAGGCCGAAAAAGGACCAGAACGACGAAAAGGGCGAAAAAGGATGAACAAGGACGAAAAACGACGAAAAGGACGAAAAAGGACGGAAAGGATGAAAATGTCGAACAGGACGAAAAGGATGACAAAGGACGAAGAGGAGGAAAATGGACGAGAAAGCACGAAAAGAAGAAAAACGGACGAAAAAGGACGAAAATGAGAAAAAAGGACAAAAAAAGGACGGAAAGAACGAAAAAGGACGAAAAAGGAGGAAAATGTCGAAAAGGACAAAACAAACGAAAAAGTACGAAAAAGGACCAAAAAGACCAAAAGGACTAAAGGGAGGAATAGGATGAAAAAGGACGAAAAAGGACCAAAAGGACGAAAAAGGACTAAAAAAACAAAACAGGACGAAAAGGGACGAAAAAGGACCAAAAGGACGAAAAGGACGAAAAGGACAAAAAAGGACGAAACGGACGAAAAGGGACGAAGAAGGACGAAAAAAGTCGAAAATGTCGAAGAGGACGAAAAAGGACTAAAAGGACAAAAAAGGACGAAAAGGGACGAAAAAGACGAAACAGGATCAAAAGATCGAAAAGAACGAAAAAGGACGAAAAGGACGTGGAAGAACGAAAAGGACGAAAATGACGACAAAGGGCGAAAATGTCGAAAAGAACGAAAAGGACGAAAAAGACCAAAAGGGACCAAAAGGACATAAAGGACGAAAAGGACGAAAAAGACGAACAAGAACGAAGAAGGACGAAAGTGGACGAAAAAGGACGAAAAGGACGGAAAGGACGAAAAAAGGACCAAAAAGACGAAAAGGACGAAAAGGAGGAATAGCATGAAACAGGACGAAAAAGACGAAAGAGGACCAAAAGGACGTAAAGGACGAAAAAGGACGAGAAGGACGAAAAAGGACGAGAAGGACGAAAAAGGACGAGAAGGACGAAAAAGGACGAAAAGGACGTGGAAGAACGAAAAGGACGAAAATGACGACAAAGGGCGAAAATGTCGAAAAGGACGAAAAGGACGAAAAAGACCAAAAGGGACCAAAAGGACATAAAGGACGAAAAGGACGAAAAAGACGAACAAGAACGAAGAAGGACGAAAGTGGACGAAAAAGGACGAAAAGGACGGAAAGGACGAAAAAAGGACCAAAAAGACGAAAAGGACGAAAAGGAGGAATAGCATGAAACAGGACGAAAAAGACGAAAGAGGACCAAAAGGACGTAAAGGAGAAAAAGGACGAATAAGGACGAAAAAGGACGAAAGAGAATGAAAAAGGACGAAAAAAGTCGAAAATGTTGAAGTGGACGAAAAAGGACTAAAAGGACAAAAAAGGACGAAAAGGGACGAAAAAGACGAAAAAGGATGAAAAGGTCGAAAATAACGAAAAAGGACGAGAAAGGACGAAAAGGACGAAAATGACGACAAAGGGCGAAAATATCGAAAAGGACCAAAAGGACGTAAAGGACGAAAAAGGACGAGAAGGAAGAAAAAGACGAAAAAGGATGGAAAGGTTGAAAAGAACGAAAAAAGACGCTAATGTCGAAAAGGACGAAAAAAACGAAAAAGGAGCGAAAGGACGAACAGGACGAAAAAGGACGAAAAGGACGAAAAAGGACGAAGCAAGGACGAAAATGGATGAAGGGGATGAAAAAGATAAAAAAGGACGAAAAGGGAGAAAAAGGACGAAAGGAAGAAAAAGGACGAAAAAGACGAAAAAGGACGAAAGTTACGAAAGAGGACGAAAAAAAGAAAAACGGACGAAAAAGGACGAAAATGAAAAAAAAAGGACAAAAAAGGACGAAAGCACGAAAAAGGACGAGAAAGGAGGAAAATGTCAAAAAGGACAAAACGAACGAAAAAGGACGAAAAAGGACCAAAAAGACGAAAAAGAGGAATAGGAGAAAGAAGGACGAAAAGGAAGAAAAAGGACGAAAAAACGAAAAAGGACCAAGCATACACAAAAGGACAAAAAGGACGAAAAAGGACCAAAAGGACGAAAAGGACAAACAAGGACGAAAAGGACGGTAAAGGACGAAAAGGACAAAAAAGGACGAAGAAGGACGAAAAGGACGAAAAAAAACGAAAAGGACGAAAATGACGAAAATGGAAGAAAATGATGAAAAAGACGAAATAGGACGAAAAAGGACGGAAAGAATGAAAATGTCGAACAGGACGAAAAGGATGACAAAGGACGAAGAGGACGATAATGAACGAAAAAGAACGAAAAGGACGAAAACCGACGAAAAATACGAAAAAAGACGAAAATTACGGAAAAGGACGAAAAGGAGAAAAACAGACGAAAGAGGACGAAAATGAGAAAAAAGGACACAAAAGGGCGATCAGCACAAAAAAGGACAAAAAAGGAGTAAAATGTCGACAAGGTCAAAACGAACGAAAAAAGACCAAAAAGACGAAAAGGACGAAAAGGAGGAAGAGGATGAAAAAGAACGGAAAAGACGACAAAGGACGAAAAGGACGAAAAAGGACGAAAACGACAAAGAAGGACGAAAAGGACGACAAAGGACGAAAAGGACAAAAAAGGACGAAGAAGGACGAAAAGGACGAAGAAGGACGAAAAGGACGAAGAAGGACGAAAAAGACGAAAAAGAACTAAAAGGACGAAAATGACAAAAAGGACGAGAAGGACGAAAAAAGACGAAAAGGACTAAAAAGGACGAATAAGGACGAAAAAGGACGAAACAAGGACGAAAAAGACCAAAGAGAAAAGACAACGAAAAATATAAACCCCGCCCAACCACCCCACCTCAATTGTGGTGATTTTTTTTATTCTTACCACACAGTACTCAAAAACATGTTTTTAATTTCTCGTAGAAAAATAAGGAATTTGCCTCTTGGCTCACGACGAATAAAAATAAATCATCACAATTGAGATAGGGTGGGTGGGCGGGGCTTATATTTTGCCTTTTTTTGTTCTTAATTTGTGTAGGCTTATTTCGACACCAAGAAACTTAAAACATGTTTAAAATGGTAAATTTTTGTAGTAATTAACTTAAATCCTCCACTTTTCTTCTACAACCCCTTTAAATTCGTCAAAAGTTGAACATCATCATCAACGGCAACTTGGCAACGAAGTTTATAAATGACAATTTTCAGTTCTAAAAGCAACGTCAAAAGCACTGAAGTGAACAGTTATTATTTCAGTATTTATTTTAACAAGCATATTTTTCCAGTTTAAAACAAAAATTGAACTTTTTAAAATTTTGGGGAATTTCGTCGTGGTTGGTATGACAAGTGTCAAATTATAACAGTTGAAGAGTCCCTAAATTTAACCTTGTCTGGCCGCTCCAGGGCCCTATAGGTCCAGCCAGATAAATCACATGGCAGGAAAACGGTGACTTACCATGGTCAAGTTTAATTCCATTTAAAACGATATATTTTTCACAAAATTTTTAATCAAACCTAACCTAAATGTTCAAAACAAAGAAAACCATCTACACTAAATTTGTCACTGAATTAATTTTATTTTCCACCGTCTTGTATCTTCTTTTTTAACCTTGGTAGTGAAGTTGAACTTCACTACTTCGAAACAAGGCGACAGTTGCATGCTTCATGGCTACTAGTGAAAAACACAACGTTGATTTTATTCGTTATTTGACAATGACATTTGTACTTCCAGTCTTAAAAACAAATTCCACCAGTTCTCGGTTACGGACTCGAAGTAAAAAAAAGGGTTTGCAATTTTGATTTTTATCAACTTACACCAGATGATATCGCTGACGGCCCCCACGAACAAGTTGCTGCAGCCTTTCTGCATCCTGCCGCCGTTGGGGTAGAAGTCCACGTGTCCCATGGGCTGGTAGGAGCCCAACCCGCCCAGAATCAGGTTCTCCCCGTTGCTGTGTATGACGTCGACGAAGGCGGCGTCGCTCTGGTCGAGCCTGGCCCTGGGGTCCTGTGACTCAAAAAGCGGTCCTGCGGGATCCAGGCCCGTGATCCTGCTTAAATTTCCCAATTCGGCGCCCGCGAAGCCAGACACATGTGCGCCCAAACTGAATCCCACTAAATGAGTGGTTCTTAATGACAAGCCGTTATTATCTACCAATCCCTTAAGGAGCATCGCGAGCTGCTTCCCGACTAGTCTAGTGTTTGCGGCGGCTTTAACGTAATTAGGAAGTATTGCCCCTTTCTCCCAATCGACGCAAATAATGTTAAGCTCCTCCTGCAATTTCAACGTAAACGGATCGATGAAGCGGTAATTTGATAGGTGTTTCTCGGGCTTGACAATCACCCGGAAGAGTCGACAAACGACTTACAAAAATCGTGCTACTTTGTATTAAAAAAAATCGTTAGAGCGGGTGACTGCCTTACCCTCGCTGACAAAGACTCACCACCGCCATTAAAGCGCTCCTCATCTCGTATATCCAAATATGGCTACAATCGCTCCCGAATCCGTGTATCAGGACTTTGGTGGGCAGGCTCTTGTTAAACCCTTGCTTAGCCCATTCAAAAGCTTCTTTGATGGACGTGAAAGGCACTTCGGCTGGGCTAGAGCCGCTGCGTCTTCTACTGTGACTGGGATATAGCAGAAATTTCGTGTCGATCTCCTCCGGTTTACTTGGCAGCATGTCCAAATAACCGAAAGGGCCGGACGCCTCGAAACATCCCAGGTCGCCGTAGCAGACCGACGAATCCTCGCGTTTGATTCTGAAATTTCGGTGATGGATAATGATTTTTCGTACAAATATTCAGATGGGTTTTAATTAAAACTTCAAAGCCGGACATGCATAATCAATCAAGTGGTAATTGAGGGTTGTGTGGGTTTTTTGGGAAACGTTGGGGGTGGGTGAATGTTTGGGTTAAAGTGCGACACGAATACAATGCAGAATTAGTTTAATATAAATGATCATGGAGAAGAGAACAGAAAAAGAAAAAATCTCAGCATATAATATAGATGTAGATATAAATGGAAATGCAATCACGCGTTTTACATTTTATCGTTTAAGACTCTAATGGAAGTATTAGTCCACTGAATAACGTGTAGTCTGTTTTTAAAATCTTCTACAAGAACAAAAATTAATTCGTGACCTTTGATCTGAAATATAAGCTCCTGAAAGCTTTCATTTTACAATTAACTTAAAACAACATTATAACAATTTTATAGTAATTTAAGATTTATGTTGCCGATTTATAAAAGTTTTCGTCTTGATAAAACAAACACACTTTGTTTCACTTAAACAACGGTTCAGAAATTAATTTTCCCTTTTCTCAGCAAACAGTTATACTTGGTGTATTTTACGAGTAGGTGTTGCGAATAAAAAAAATACTTTTTAAGTATAGTTCAAATATAAAGAAATTTTATTAAAATATTCATAATAGCGCCTACACATTTAATAGCTGTGTATTGAAATAATTGAAAGTTTCCTCTTTTCAAATTTGGCGGATGCGCCGGTTTATTGCAAAAAAAATTGTTTTCGGAATGGACAAAACTAAAAAATATTGAAACATTCTCGGAAAAGATATGCAAAACTGTAAATATCAAGATATGATCCTATGAACTAAAAAATTATTATTGTTAAGTCCGGTAATACAAGATTAATTACTTTGTCTGCAAAACATTCTGGGAAACGTAATCAATAAGATAAAGGATACAACATCTTATTCATTAATATTGGATACTACACAAGATATCACCAAAATAGATCAGCTGTCCATAACCATAAAATATATTGTTATCAAACCACAAGAAAATGTTAATACTTGAAATTCATTAATGGTTTTAAAATATAACTTCTCTGTCTTATTTATCAAATATTTAGTTAATTATAGACCAAGGGTATTATGAAGTTGTTTATGCACGAGGGTATAAATTTCAGATCTAGGAACTAGAATATAGGTTGTAAATTTGGGGTTGTTCTTATTAAACATCGCATAAATCAGAAAAATTGAAAAAATTCAGAATCTAGAATCGAGATTGAAGGATCTCGAATGTATTATCCAGGATCTACAATCTAGTGTCTAGAATTTAAGATCTGGGATCTTGAATCTAGAATCCTATGATCTTGAATCTAGGATCTAAAAATCTGTAGAATAGGAACTAGAATTTAAAACTTAAAATTCAAAATCTAAGATATAGGATCAAGAATCTAGGGTCTAGTATCTAAAATTTAAGACCTTGAATTTAGGAACCAGAATCTTGAAATCAGGATCTAGTAACTAGGATGTAAATTCTGTGATCTAAAATTTGAAATCTAGACTCTGAGGTCTAGAATTTAGGCTCTAGAATCTAAAATCTACGATCTAGAATCTAGGAACTAGAATATAGATGGATCTAAAATTTAGGAACCTAGAACATATGGGGCAGAACTAAAAACAAGAATCACGGATCTAGAATCTCGGATGTAGAATATATTTTGTTCATTGTGGACCACGGGTATTATGAAGTTGTTTATGCCCGAGGGTATAAACTTCAAATCTAGGAACTAGAAAATAGGTTATAAATTTGAGGTTGTTCTTATTAAACATCGCTTAAACCAGAAAAAATTGAAAAAATTCAGAATCGAGAATCGGGATTGAATAATCTCGAATCGATTATCCTGTATCTACAATACAGTGTCTAAAATTTAGGATCTGGGATCTTGAATCTAGGATCCTATGATCTTGAATCTAGGATCTAAAAATTTGTAGAATAGGAACTAGAATTTAAAACTTAAAATTCAAAATCTAAGATATAGGATCAAGAATCTAGGGTCTAGTATCTAAAATTTAAGACCTTGAATTTAGGAACCAGAATCTTGAAATCAGGATCTAGTACCCAGGATGTAAATTTTGTGATCTAAAATTTGAGATCTAGACTCTGAGGTCTAGAATTTAGGCTCTAGAATCTAGGATCTAGGAAATAGATGGATCTAAAATTTAGGAACCTAGAACATACGCGGTTGAACTAAAAACAAGAATCACAGATCTAGAATCTCGGATGTAAATATATTTTGTTCATTGTGGACCAAGGGTATTATGAAGTTGTTTATGCTCGAGGGTATAAACTTCAAATAATACCAGTAGTACGACAGCGTTTTATGTCTTACTATGTAGTTTTTGATATTTACAAAAGAAACATCAGATTTGAATGTATCCTATAGGATCTGAGATTTAGAATCTGGGACTTAGAATCTGAGATATAAAATCTGATATCTAGACATGAGATTTAGAATCTAGGATATAGTATCTCGGATATAGAATCTGTGATTTAAAATCTAAGATCTAGAATCTTGGAATTAGAATCTAAGTTCTAAGATCTAAAATATAGGATCTGGAATCTGGGATGTAAAATCTGAGATATAGAATCTGACATGTCGAATCTGAGATTTAGAACCTAGGAACTAGAATATAGAATCGAGAATATAGTATGGAGAATATAGAATGGAGTATCTAGGAATTTAGAATCCGAGTTTTAAAGTCTAAAATCTAGGATTTAGAATAAAGGATCTAGCATTTAAGACCTAGAATCTACCTATGAATGATATGATGGAATGAAATGATGGATCTGGCATCCAGAATTTGGGATACAGAATCTGTAATCTGAGATCTAGAATGCAGTACCTAGAATCCAGGATCTAGACACTAGAATCTAGGATCTGGATCTTAGGATCTAAGATCTAGAGTCTGAAATTTAGGAACCCAGAACATGGGGAGCAGAACTAAAATTAAGAATCACGAATCCAAAATCTCGGTTGTAGAATCTATGAACTAGGATCTTGAATCTAGATTCGAAGATGAAGGATGTAGGATATCGAATTTAAAATACAGTATCTATGACCTGCATTCTGTGATTTCAGTTCTAGAATCTAGGTGATAGAATGAAAAATCTAGAATATGAAATTTAAAATATGGCATCTATGAAATAGAAACTGAAATTATATTTTAAGATCTCGTTTCTAGAATCTACGTTCTAGGATCCAGGATACATGATGTAGGATCTAGAATCTGGGATTTAGAATATAGGAACTAGAATACAGAATCTAGGATATAGTATCTAGAATATAGTATCTAGCATCTAGAATCTGGGCTTTAGAATCTATAATCTAGAATTTAAGACCTAGAATCTAGGATCTAGAATTTTGAATATAGTAAATCTAAGATCTGAAATCTAGGATCTAGAATCTAAAATCTAGAGTCTGAAATTTAAGAACCTGGAACATGGGACGCAGAATTAAAATGAAGAATGACGGATCCAAAATCTCGGCTATAGAATATTTTTTTCTAGAATCTATGAACTAGGATCTAGAATCTAGATTTAAAGATAAAGGATGTGGGATATAGGATATGGAATTTAAAAACAGTATCTATGAATTAGGACTTACAAACTACGTTTTAGGATCTTAGTTCTAGGATCTAAGATCTAGAATGTAGAATTTAGGATCTAGGATCTGGGATATAGAATTTGTGATTTAGAATCTAAGATCTAGAATTTGGAATTTAGAATCTGGGATTTAAAACCTGAGATCTAGAATGTAGAAACCAGAATCTTGGAACAAGGAACTAGAGTCTAGAATGTAGGATCAAGTTTCTAAGATTTAGGATTTAAGGTTTGGAATAACCTAGGAGATAGAGTATAGGAACTTGAATATTGAATCTAGGATATATGTAGTATCTAGAATCTGTGCTTTAGAATCTATAATCTATAATTTAGAATGTGCTGTCTAGGATCTGCAATCTAGGATATAGAATCTAATATCTAATATCTAGAATCTGAAGGTTAAAAACCTAGAACATGGGAAGCCGAATTAAAATGAAGAATCAGGGATCCAAAATGTCGGATATAGAATCTATTTTTCTAGAATCTATGAACTAGGATCTAGAATCCAGATTTGAAAGATGTTGGATATGGAATTTGAAAACAGTATCTATGAATTATGACCTATAAACCACGTTTTAGGATCTTGGTTCTAGAGTCTATGATCTAGAATGTAGAATTTAGGATCTAGAATCTAGGATCTAAGATCTAGGATATAGAATTTATGATTTAGAATCTAAGATCTAGAATTTGGAATTTAGAATCTAGGATCTAAAACCTTAGATCTAGAATGTAGAAACCAAAATCTTGGAAACAAGGAACTAGAGTCTAGAATGCAGGATCAAGTTTCTAAGATTTAGGATTTACGGTTTGGAATAACCTAAGATTTAGAGTAAAGGAAGTTGAATATTGAATCTAGGATATATGTAGTGTCTAGAATCTGGGCTTTGGAATCTATAATCTAGAATTTAAGACCTAGAATCTATGATCTAGAATTTTGGATTTGGAATCTAGAATTTAGAATGTGCTATCTTCGATCTGCAATCTAGGATATAAATTCTAATATCTAGAATCTGAAATTTAAGAACCTAGAACATGAGGAATCAGGGATCCAAAATTTCGGATATAGAATCTATTTCTCTAGAATCTATGAACTAGGATCTAGAATCCAGATTCGAATGATGTTGGATATGGAATTTCAAAAAGAGTATCTATGAATTAGGACCTATAAACCACGTTTTAGGATCTTAGTTCTAGAGTCTAAGATCTAGAATGTAGAATTTAGGCTCCAGGATCAAGGATATAGAATCTGTGATTTCGAATCTAGGATCTAGAATGTAGAAACCAGAATCTTGTAACAAGGAACTAGAGTCTAGAATGTAGGATCTAGTTTCTAAGATTTAAGATTTAGAGTTTGGAATAACCTAGGATTTAGAGTATAGGAACTTCAACATTGAATGTAGAATATATGTAGTATCTAGAATATAGTGTCTAGGATCTAGAATCTGGGCTTTAGAATCTATAATCTAGAACTTAAGACCTAAAATCTATGATCTAGAATTTTGGGGATCTGGAATTTAGCATCTAGAATCTAAGATCTAGAGCCTGAAATTTAAGAACCTAGAACATGGGACGCAAAATTATAATCAAGAATCACGGATCCAAAATCTCGGATATAGAATCTGTTTTTCTAGAATCTATGAACTAGGATCTAGAATCTAGATTCGAAGATGAAAGATGTTGGATATGGAATTTAAAATACAGTGTCTATGAATTAGAACCCATAAACTACGTTTAGACATAGAATCTAGGATCTACAATTTAGGGTTTAGGTTGTAGAATTTATGACATAGAATCTGAGATTTAAAATCTAGGATCTAGAATTTGGAATTTAGAATCTAGGATCTAAAATCTGGGATCTAGAATCTAGGAATCAGAATCTTGGAACAAGGAACTAGGGTCTAATTTCTAAGATCTAGGATCAAAGATTTGGAATATATGAATCAGAATCTAGAATGGAGAATGAAGAATCTAGGATAAAGAATTTAAGATAGGGTATCTGGGAATTAATTACTGGAAACTACGTTAGGAGGTAGGATAATAGGATAAGGACATAATTTAAGATCTTGTAGGATTTAGGATCTAAAATCTAAGAACTAGAATCTAGAACCTAGTATCTAGGTTCAACATTGAATATTTCAGGCTTGGAAAAATGTAGAACATAAGATTTGGCATTTAGAATCTAGGATATATAACCTAAATTCTTGATAATTCAGCTAATAGAAGTTGTACCGTGTATAATATTTCTCACAGATTACAAATTTGAGGTTGCTTTTACTAGACAGACATAAATCAGGAAATTTGAAACCACTCATCTTCAAAAAAATTTTAAATATGAAATTTAATAATTTCGGTATAAAAAAAAGCATTGCCCTGCTGAAAATTTCCTGTAAATTATAAATCTGAACCGAGGTTTTCAATAAATCTAACATAAAGAAAAAGCAAACGAAGGTATGATTTTTTAAGTCATCTTTTTTTGTTATTTGTCTACTCGTCCAAGACCACTGCGTGTTTAAAGTTGGCCTTTTTTTAAATTTTAAACCAAAGCTGTTTGTCTTCAGTGTGAATAGCTTTACAGGTTCTTAATTTTTTTATATTTTTATTTTTCATGATTCTACATGCAATTTTGAACTTTTACATACTTAATTTTTCTTTGTCTTCTATTCCTATCAATCAATCATGTTTCTCTGTCAAAGTTTTGTATTTAACACATGATTTTTGCAGGCAAATTAAATTTTGCCTGTTACCAGAGACCCGGTTTTCAATAATATAAATTAGCGCTGGCGCCGTATTGACATTTGCAACCAGCAATACACTAAGTAATAGTTGGTTTCTAGTGTCTTGCGTGTTCTGTTGACATTATAGCAACTATCTTTAATGCCCTAGGGTATTATTTGGTCAATAACGTACCTCAATAACAAAGTGGTAAGACAAAAAATATATATAATATCAGTAACTGTAAGAAGAACTCCAGACAGTGGTCGTACAACTTCAATTAGAACAGAGGAGAGGTAAATACAGAAGGGCTGTCATTTTTTTGTTACGCCTCTGAAACACAACTAAAACAAACGACGATTGGAGTGACAAAAAGCTCCTCAAAAGTTGTCCCAAACTGACTCGCTTTAAATTTTATTTTCTATCCACTTCGTTTTAAATTGTCTTTGATACCTCACACAAACTTTTTTTATTTAATTATTTGCACACAAATTCGCCAGTTCGCAAAACTGTGTTGACAGAAATGATATATTTTATTTTCTCGCTTCCGCAACACTGTAACTACGGATATCCTTGGCCCTTATTCTTTCAGGGGTCTGAACGGATAATAAGATTTATTTTTTTAGGTCCTCGATAAAGTTGAAACTAAAGAAATATGGATTACTAATCTTATTTTCACAGAAAAACAGAGAAGTTTTCGGAGCTTTTTGCTGAAGTCGCTCCTCACCCTTGCATTTTTCAAAATCTGACACGGAAAATTTAATTTCATCGAAGAACATTATATGCAACAGAAAATCAGAAGTAAAAAAATTCTCGACATTGTTCAATCGCCATACCTGCCATGAATTTTCTTCAGTTCCTGTCTCTTCTGCCACTCGTTGATGGATGTGACCACGGATTTGTAAATTTCAGCATCGTTGAGCTCGTCCAGCACCTCCAGGGACGGGCTGAGCCACGGCACCGATGCCCCTTGAACGAAACAGATACATGCAAATTACTCTCGCAACCACAGTACGTCCATGTTGCAAAGTTTAATTAAAATTTTGGTAGTAATTATGTACGGTACGTTAACTCCGGTGGCACAAAAAAAAAATGTATGCTTATTTAAGAAAAACCTTGATTTACTTCTGGTAATGACATGTAGCTGTCGCAAGATGTTATGCTTGGAAAACACTACGATCGGTGGTATCCTGTCAAAAATCGAATTTGCTTTTCAAACCAAATTACGCCGGATGCGACATCGATTCATTAATATTGCTTGTATTAAATACGATTTAACACAGCTGTGGTTCTTGTAAGTGATTAAATAGCGCTTGTTCAGACTGGCTGTGAGGAAGAGTAATTAAGTCAATGCTTGCGTGCACTCATTATAATCTTTCTATTTGTCGTCATGGTTTCGTTTTATGAGAAGGTAATCAACTAAGAGTTACATTAAAGAGCTTGTAATGTATAATCGCATAACAGTTATTTAGCATGTAATTTCTATTTCCAAAGAACGCCTTGTCGTTGGCAGAAGGCGGCTATAAACAATCGTGGACCACTTCTGTGTATTACGCCCTCGTGGTAGTCGCGGTGTACTCCTTCGAGGAAAAGTTTAATGACTCACTATGTACAGAACTGTGTTTGTAGTTCATACATGTATAATAAAATCCTATTATTTCGGTAATTATTTATTTATTTGTGAGCGCATTGTTCGGAACTGCTTAATGCCAGTGTTTCGGTTATCAAAGAGAAGAAAGCATAAGATTGTTGTTGAAAAAAGTTTAACTTAAACAGAGATTATTGTTACGAATTACAATTCAAACGAAATTACTTCCGAATGCCGCAATAGAAGACTAGAAATACATTATAAATTCATTAGTTTGGAAGATGGCCGCATTTTCCGTTTCCTGTAACGCAATTAAAGTCGTTCCTTTGAATATAAATACAGTGTTGTCGAAGACATACGAAACCTGGTTACTCCATAAACAAATACGTGATGATTTTATAAACAATTGTAACGTCAGTATTGTAAATTTTGACGATCCATTCACTATTCCGTAACTAGAATATTTTGTTATGCAAGACTGACGCAAAATAATTTGCCTCAAAATTTTAAATACTCAACTCTGGAAATTATTTACAAGTTTATATTCTTAGTTTCGATGCACAGCGGGTATGCCGTTGCAATAATCTGTGGCCAAACAATTCAGTACGAAGTTCCCAACTAAAATTACGGTCTTAGTAGATGCCTCAAGATTTTACATTTTATGTAAACCCAGCTCTCGTATTAATAGCACAGACGAGAACTTTATTCCAAAACACGTGCTGCATACAATTTGAAAATAAATTAGACATTATTGAAGTTGTAAAAGTTTCTTAACACGTGAAGGCATAAATAATATTTTATTGATTAGTCTGGCTCAGCGTGAAATGAAAGTATTAAAATAGCAGTAAATTGTGATTACGATAACTGTACTCATACTCGTACAAACCACTGTCTGCTAAAGTTTTCGCATTTTGAGTCATATCGTGCTAAAAAAAAGAAGTTATGACAATGATGTTATTAGGCAAATTTGTTTCAACTCTAAAAACGTTGTCACGAATTCTGAATCTTTCTGTGTCATCTAAACATCATTGGCGTAAAGGACGCACGAAATCCAAACGTGCTTGGAAAGTTTTAAGATAATTTTTCGGTTTTGTGTAGCGTTTTATTTTGTCTCAAAAATGTTTAAGAACAAGACGTTTTTCTCTTATCGCTAAAGATAAATTTAATCTAACTGTGTTTTTTTTCCTGAATTTCAGTAACAAATTTTTGGAAATTTAAAAATTAGTGTTATCATAAAGATTTTCCTCTGAGAATTAACTGTAATTTAAAAATATGAATTTTTGCCTTTTTATTTTTTTTTATTTTTTTAATAAAAGTCGTAACATGAAACATCCTTACTTAAATCAGAAAAATTAAAAAAAATCAGGATCTAGAATCTAGTGTCTATAATTTAGGGTCCGGAATTTAGAATGTGAAATCTAGGATCGAGATTCTAGGATTTAAAATTTACGAGCAAGAATTTAGGGTTTAGAATTAGGATCTATTGAATTTAAAACCTAAAATTCAAGATCTAGAATCTAGACCTAGGACCTAGAATCTAGGATCTTGAATTTCCTCGCTTAATTAGAAAAGTTTTAAAAATCTTGATCTAGAATCGAAATTGAAGAATCTCGAATTTATTAACCAGCATTTACAATCTAGTGTTTAGAATTTAGGATCTGGGATCTAGGATTTAGAATCTAGGATCTACGATCTAAAATCTAGGAGTTAAAGTTTAGGATCAAGGATCTATGATCTAGAATTAGGATCTATATCTATAGAACTTAAAACCCAAAAATTTAAAATCTAGAATCTAGGATCTTAAATCTCCTCGCTTACTAAGGAAAATTTAAAAAATCAGAATCTAGAATCGTGATTGAAGAATTTCGAATCTATGGTCCAGAATCTACAACAATCTAGTGTCTAGAATTTATGATCTGTGATCTAGAATCCTGGGATTCTAAAATCTAGGATCTAGAATCTAGGATTTAAAGTTTACAATCAAGAATCTAGGGCCTAGAATTAGGATTTAAAACCGAAAATTCAAAATCTAGGATCTAGAATCTAGGGTTTAGCATCTACAATCTAGGATTTTGAATCTCTTCGCTTAATCAGAAAAATTTTAAAAAATCTGGATTTAGAATCGAGATTGAAGAATCTCGAATCTATGATCCAGGTTCTATAATCTAGTGTCTAGAATTTAGGATCTGGGATTCAGGATCGAGGATCTAGAATCTATGATTTAGAATCTAGGATGTTGAATTTAGAATCTTGAAACTCTAAATCTAGGATCCAGAATCTAGGATTTAAAATTTAGGATCAAGAATCAAGGGTCTAAAATTAGGAACTATAAAATCTAAAACTGAAAATCCAAAATCTATGATCTAGAATCTAGAACCTAGAATCTAGTATCTAGGATACAGGATTTTGAATTCAGGATTTAGAATTTAAAATCTAATCGAGAATCTAGGAACGTGGGTGTAGAATTTAGAATCTACGATCTAAAGTCTACAATTTAGGAACCTAGAACATAGAGAATCACAGATCACGAATCTCGGATATAGAATCTATTGTCTAGAATCGAGACTCTAGAATTTAAAATTTACGAACAAGAATTTTTAGTTTAGAATTAGGATCTATAGAATTTAAAACCTAAAATTCAAAATCTAGCATCTAGGACCTAGGATCTAGGATCTAGAATCTAGGACCTAAGATCTAGGATATGAAATTTAAAATATGAATTAGAAACTGAAACTACCTTTCAGGATATCGATTATTATAGAATCTAGGCTCCAGGATATATGATGTAGAATCGAGGACCAAGAAATTAAAATTTTGAATGTGGCATGTGGACTCTGAGATATAGAATCTGGGGTCTAGAATCTTTGATTTAGAATCTAGGAATTAGACTAGAAATCTAGGATATTATATCTAGAATATAGAATACAGTAGTATCTAGGATATAGAATCTGGGCTTTAGAATCTAAGATCTAGGATCTAGGATTTAAAATCTGAGATTCAGAGATCTAGAATCTAAGATCTAAAGTCTAAAATTTAGGAACCTAGAACATAGGAAGTAGAACTAAAATCAAGAATCACCGTTCCAAAATCTGGGATGTAGAATTTAAAATACAGTATCTATGAATTAGGACCTATAAACTACATTTTAGGATATCGGTTCGAGAATATAGGTTCTAGGATTTAAGATCTAAGATTAAGAATCTGAGATTTAGAATCGGGGATGTAGAATCTGAGATATGGAATCCCGCGTCTACAATCTGGGATTTAGAATCTAGGAACTAGAATATAGAATCTAGGATATAGTATCTAGGATCTAGAGTGTGGGCTTTAGAATCTAAGGTCTAGAATCTAAGATCTAGGTTCTACAATTTAAGGTTTAGAATCTAGGATCTAGAATCTTGCATTTAAAATCTGGGATCCAGAACCTAGGATCTAGAGTTTGAAATTTAGGAACCAAGGGCATAGGGAGCAGAACTAAAAGCAAGAATCACGGATGTAGAAACTATTTTCCGAAAATCTATACACTGGGATCTAGAATCTAGATTCAAGGATGAAGGATGTAGGATATGGAATTAGAAATACACTATCTATGAATCAGGAGCTATAAACTACGTTTCAGGATCTCAGTTCTAGAATCTAGTATCTAGAATTTAGAGTTTAGGACCTAGGATCTGGAATCTAGGGTCTAATATCTAGAGTCAGAAAAATTAAAAAAATTCAGGATCTAGAATGGAGATCGAAGAATCTCGAATCTATGATCCAGGACCTACAATCTAGTGTTTATAATTTAGAATCTGGGATCTAGAATCTAGGAACTTGAATCTAAAATCCTGAGGTTTTAAAATCTTGGATTAAAAATTTAGGATCAAGAATCTGTGAATTTAGAATTAGAATCTGTAAAATGTAAAATCCAAAATCTGATCTAGAATCTAGGCCCTAGGAGATAGAATCTATGGTTTAGTATCTAGAATCTAAAATTTATGGTCTAGAATTAAGGATCTAGGATCTAAGATCTAGAATCTAGGATCGAGGGCGTAGAATCGAGAATCTACGATCTAGAGTCTAAAATTTAAGAACCTAGAACAGAACACTGGGAGCAGAATTAGAAGCAAGGATCACGGATCTCGAATCTCGGATATAGAATTTATTGTCTAGAATCTATGATCTAGAATATGAAATTTAAAATCTGGTGTCTATAAATTAGAAACTGAAACTACATTTTAAAATATCGGTTCTAGAATATATGATGTAGGATCTAAAACCAAGAATCTGAGATTTAGATGTAGTATCTAGAATCTAGATTGGAGCACGAAAGATGTAGGATATGAATTTAAAATACAGTATCTATGAATTAGGACATATAAACTACGTTTAAGGATCT